TGTGTGTTTTAACAAACGGTCTATGATGAAGGGAAATTGTGTTCCATTTTACTTCATTTTAGTTAAATTTGTTATCTTTATTCACTCCGATTTTTGTCATGTTTAAAACGTACGTACACACACACACACACACAAGCAATTATGAGTTATACCTAATACAAACAAGAGAATAGATCTCTTTGATTTTCCAACGTGAGACTTACATCAGACCTACTTCAAACGGTCATTTGAGCGTATGGTTTACAAGGTGTGAGAGCGATAAACAGATATCCAAACTGATTTTTCGGCGGTTAAAAACCCCGTTGCGTTCAAACATGTGTAGATAAGGATATATCTAACGCTCTCAAGATGAAAGTCTATGGCTACGCCCCCAGGATACGTAATAAAGACCAGGCAGGCTCTGAGATAGATCGCACCGCTAATATCACACCGATTAACTTGTAAAAGAAAAAAGAAAAAATGGTGTTAGGATACCCCCTGCTGGTTGTTATCGGATTTTACGCTGAGTTCTAAGGAGCCGCCCCCCACACTACGAACTGTTAAAAAGCAAAAGTTGTACAACGTTCATTAGGTCTACCTGTAACTCTGTCTTCACGGTGTACAATATTAATTATCTAATCAATCGACGGAACAATGGCTGACAATTACGATGGTAAGTGTGTTTTTCATCGGTGTTATTTAAATATATTTAAACGTGAATATTTGTTTAACACCCTGTGTTTATAATCTCTTATAAACTTTTGAGAATCTGGCTTTCGACGAAGGGTTGGAACAGATCCTTGTAGAGCTATGTAAGTATTTTCTCTTTTTCTATTAACTACTCAATGTCTAATAATAGCAATAATAATAATAATCGTTATCATTTTACCCCACCAGTTGACGAGGCCCAATTAGTTACCTGTGATGATGACTGCGATGTTAATAACGGTAGGTTGCATATACAGACTTTCGTTTTTCTCAACGTGTTAAAAGTTTCAGTTTCTCATAAAGTGTTTACAAAATTTTGACAGGTGAACACGTTGGTTCTGACAGCCACGTGGTAATATTACCTACAGAGGAGGCGTTGCAAGAGGTTGTAGTTAGTTCGGAATCACGTCACGAGACAAACAACGTCATACGAACCACCCCCGAGCGCGTTACGTCTTCAGAGGAAGGGTCTCACACGCTCATCGCCAGCACTAGCGATCACACCCCAGCCGCATCCAGCTCCCCAACGCCGCAATTGAGGTCTCAGCATACAGGCGGTCAGGGCGTGAAACGCTTGAGGTTACAGGAGCAGGATACGGATGACTCACCGACCACCACCCGTTTAAGGACTTCAGAGAATAATGGTATGTAAAACAGAAAATCTCATTATTACGTTTTATGTTTGATTTTTATTAGTTAAATTAATAAACGGTTATTGTTATTTTTACAGAACAAGTCTGCGATGAGAGAGACCTAACAGCGTGGTCTGATTCGATGATCCACGCGTGGGATCAGATATCCTTCACCGATTCGGAGAGTGAGGAAGAGGATGAATTACCGCATGAAATTCCTCAGGAACTGTTCCGTGATCGTGATTTAAATATAAGGCTTGATTATGACATGCTGAGCCGTGTTAATCGGTACTTTGAGAGACTTTTCGACTTGGCCGGACAACCCCTATCTTACAGGGAAGCGGAAGACATTGTCGCTAGTGCCCAAAGTGATGTGTTGGCGATTTTAAGAAACATCATAGCGTGTCAACAGCAACATAACGAAGCTTTACGTCACGCAGCTGAATTTTGGAGAAGTTGTCACGACCAGCTGTATAATGAATTCCGACAGTTTCAGCAGAGCATGAGCGGTGTATCGGAAGCGATAAACCAGCAGCACGCCGAGCAAAGACTTGTGGTAAACGCTTTATCTCTTATGGGTGAACGTTTAAATCTTATTCAGAGAATGTTAACAGATTTGTACAATCGTATGGGGAGATAGGACGTAATATTCTATGTATTGAATTGCTGCTTGTTTTTGTTTCTGTGTTATTGACATCGTTTTTTTATCAGCGTAGGTTATTTCACACATTTATTATTGTTTGTTATTTCTTACATTTATTATTGTTTGCCATCGATTTATTGTTGTTTTATGCTTATTATTGAGGTTTGTTTCTGATACTATTTTACTTGTGGAAGAAAACGGTGGTTTCAAATTTATACTGTACATGTTTTGTTTTTGTTATATCTGGTTATGTCACATTGCAAACGTTTTCAGGGGGATGTACACGCTTGTCTTTAAGATTTAAATTTTTTGTATTTCTGATTTAAAAATAATAATAATTCAAAATGAGCAGTAAAAGATGTCACGGTGATTTACATGACCATATTTCAGAAGATGATCAGAGATCGTTAAGGCCTAGACATGATTTTCAAAACAATAGTGATCAATTACGCGAGTTGATTAATAACCAATTACAGATGTTACAGCCTGATTCGCTTAACATGATGGAAAGATTACACGAACTTGTAGACGAACAACATGAATGGTTGGGAGCATCTATAAACAACAATGAACAGGTCGGTGCAGGTCCTTCTAATGACGACCCGTCAGGTTATGACCCAGCAGCACCAGATATGGGTCTCAGCCAGAATTGTATAGATAGCCTAGTAAGAGAGGGTGGTCGTGTGGGTGATTTTACAATTGTCCAGGATTCTTTCCCCATCATTTTAACCGTTCGCAGAATGTGAATTATCCAGGACCGTATCCGTGTAAAGAACATTATGGCTACCAGAAAATGTCTGACACTGAACTAATGAAATTTGACTCATGGTACGAGAGCGTAGCGGGTCAGGTGTTTGACTTCAAAAAACAACTCGGGATGTTACTGCAAGAACGATGTCGTTTTGTTATGTGAGGCTTGCATGAAATACAGAAATTAGTTTATCGAGTGTACAAACGTGGACCCATTCGGATGTATAACACTTGCCGGGTGTGCTATGAAAGTGTTCAAAACACTTGTTTTAACCAACGACACGATAGCCCTAACACACAAAAATGCTTACATCGATCAGTACAAATCTTACTCAAATCCTTCCATCCAATGGCTCGAATACATTAAAGCTAGCAGAAACGTCGACGTTCAACATGCGTTAAATTACGGCGAAGCCAAATTTGGACCGTATCATGTGGATGGCTATTATGAAGTTGATAACGGTGATAGAATAGCCTTGGAATTTTTAGGTTGTTTCTGGCATGGACACGATTGTCGTTTTAATCCTAACGAATTGAATCCGGTATCAAAAATACCATTCAGTGTGCTCAGAAGACAATCTGACAATAAGTTGAATGTCTTGCGTAATACCTACAATCTCAATGTACATGAGATTTGGGAATGTCAGTGGGAGAAAGCCAAACAAAACGATTCTGATGTCAAAGCTTTTATGAGTAGTTATAATGCACCTGCAAGGCTTAATCCCAGGGAATCGCTTTTCGGAGGTAGGACTAATGCACTCAAACTGTACCACAAGGCCAGCGAAGATGAACACATCTCCTATTTGGACTTTACATCTCTTTATCCTTATGTGCAGTCGTGTAAAACCTACCCTATCGGACATCCTGAAATAATTTTAAAAGATTTTGAACCGGTCGAATCGTATTTTGGTCTTATTAAATGTACCGTACTCCCCCCGCGTAAACTACTCCACCCGGTTCTACCTTTCAAGTCTCCAGAGGGTAAACTATTGTTTGCACTGTGTCGCACCTGTGCTGAGACGCAATATCAGGACCAGTGTCATTTAACCAAAGACACGATAGCCCTAACACACAAAAATGCTTACATCGATCAGTACAAATCTTACTCAAATCCTTCCATCCAATGGCTCGAATACATTAAAGCTAGCAGAAACGTCGACGTTCAACATGCGTTAAATTACGGCGAAGCCAAATTTGGACCGTATCATGTGGATGGCTATTATGAAGTTGATAACGGTGATAGAATAGCCTTGGAATTTTTAGGTTGTTTCTGGCATGGACACGATTGTCGTTTTAATCCTAACGAATTGAATCCGGTATCAAAAATACCATTCAGTGTGCTCAGAAGACAATCTGACAATAAGTTGAATGTCTTGCGTAATACCTACAATCTCAATGTACATGAGATTTGGGAATGTCAGTGGGAGAAAGCCAAACAAAACAATTCTGATGTCAAAGCTTTTATGAGTAGTTATAATGCACCTGCAGGGAATCGCTTTTCGGAGGTAGGACTAATGCACTCAAGCTGTACCACAAGGCCAGCGAAGATGAACGCATCTCCTATTTGGACTTTACATCTCTTTATCCTTATGTGCAGTCGTGTAAAACCTACCCTATCGGACATCCTGAAATAATTTTAAAAGATTTTGAACCGGTCGAATCGTATTTTGGTCTTATTAAATGTACCGTACTCCCCCCGCGTAAACTACTCCACCCGGTTCTACCTTTCAAGTCTCCAGAGGGTAAACTATTGTTTGCACTGTGTCGCACCTTCATTCAGTGACCATTTCTTCTTATGCCATGGTCTGTCTGAATACTCTATTCTGATTGACTGGCAGGTGTTGATTAAATTCGTTTAACTGCACAGGTAGTTCCAGGTCAGTTTAATCACGTTCTATATTAATTCTGATGACGCGCGAAATGCAGCTGGAGGGTAGGAAGTGATTTCTCTCCATAGAAATCACTAGCAGAAACTCAAAATGCCTGTGTTTTGCGTTGTTTATGGATGCTCAAATCGACCAAACCGAGAAACCACACGGAGCCAAGAAGTCAAAAGTCAAGAAATTTACTGAAAAACGCAGGAAAAAGTGGCTTTTAAACCTGCGTCTGCGGTCGGGAGGAGCGGAGC